TTGTGTATAATATTCTGTCGGTATAATTTCAGATGTATAGACCACCCCTGATTCTTTTTCACTGTAATTAATGTCTCTAGAAACTTGGATATTTCATTGTTATTTACTTTTGATTTTTCAAAAACTTTTAACATGGAAAGCCCATTTAAAAACAATATAAAATAGTAGAGTTAAGCAGAAGCCAGAATCTAGACCATTAATGTAACTACAACTTGGGGTAGATTAATTGTTATAGTTGATACTGATCTGAATTTACTGGCAATAAGAACAAAACAAAATGAAGTTCCGGTTCTGTGATTTATTATATGTGAATGCCCTAAGACATCATTTTTCTTTTTAGGGAATTGTTGCTAGCGTTGACCTTGAAGATTCTTTCCCCCGTGAATTCTTGTTTGGAAAATTACTAATGATTAATAGACATTATCTTTGGGGTTTTATAATAAACAACACTCTTTAGTGTATAGGTTTTGATAGCTGAAGCCTAAACCCTGAATCAATGAAGATATTTCCAGATTGAATAATCTTACTGAACTAGTTTGCTTATCTTTTATTCAACAACCTGCATAGTGTTTACTATTTGCCATATACTGTCCTAGACACTGGGGGTTAGTGGAAGAAATTGTCCTTGAAGCCCTTAGTCCAGTGGGGAATTTAGCTGGGCAAATAGGTTTACCGTGCGAGTTGCTATGATGGAGACAAGTATATCATGCCTTTGGAGCCCGAGAGGGTATGTCGTCTTGGAAGAGTTGGAGGAGGGTTCTTATGATACATGATATTTGAGCTGATTCTTGAATGTTTGTCGGGTTGAAAGGAAAGAAAGAGACCAGAATGCTCTTGGATGCTCTGATTTATTTTAGCTAGGAACTTGTACAATCTAGAAATAAATCACTAACATCCACTAAACTTTTCAACTCAAATATCCCATGTCCTCAGTGGATGTTTGGCATGGATGAGTACAGCAGTTTTATCACTGAATCCACTCCTGTTCCTGTAGTGCTCTGGCTCATGGTCAAAGCCCAGTAACTAGAGGATGGATTGATGGATGCAAGGAAGGAGAGGAGAGCCTTATGTCACAGATACCACAAAGTATGGATGAGCTCGAGTTGTCACTGTATGAGAAAGGCTTGGAGGTTGCTTTACATTTCAGTCAAATGGAAGAGCAATCCATTTTCACAGGCAGCAAAGGGACCTGGAGATAAAGCCAGTGTTTTCCTCCGAAAATAGCTTGGACTCTTAGGAATTACCTGCACAGACTTCTAGCCAGGACTCCGGAGTCCTGCCCTATGCAATACAAAAGGACCGAGTTCACTCTAAAAATGTTTTCAGGGTAGTTATTACCAGTTAATTCACAAGGTCCCTGGACCCTAGCCAGCCTCTGTGGAGTGTCTGCTTTTAAACAGAGCTCCTGCTTCTTGGTCCCCGTAGAATTACTAAGATGTGCAGTGTATGCCTCAGCAGCTCTGAGGCCTGACCCGTGAAAGGGGCTATTTCAGATGGCTGGCGAATGATGGCCAAGTGCAGTATTCGTTTTGACATGTTGGGGCTGAGCATCTTCTCCAGACAATGACTAGTCAGCGAGCTCAAAAACACTTCTTAGGACTCTTCTCATTCAGAACGGTGCAGACCTTTTCCTCGACCTTCAAAATCACATGGTCCACCTGCCTGCTTCGCCATTCTTCAGGATGTCTCAGAGTTATCTTGGACTTAAAAAGGGTCACTTGGACACTTTATTTATCACCTCCCCCAGATCTGTGCTGGCTTTCACAGTGTGCTCCTTTCATTAAATGGATAATCATTTATCTAGGGACTCAGGATAGAAGGATAATATTAATTCGTGACATCTTCCCTCAGTCCTTAAATGTAACCAGACAGTTTCTGTTAATATTTTTAACATCTATCCACCTTCCTTCATTTGAGGTGTCATTGGCCTTGTGCAAGCCGCCATCATTCATTGGAACCAGTGGCTTTGCTGCTTCTACTTTGGCTGTTTCTTTTAATATTTTTTATTTATTTGACAGAGATCACAAGTAGGCGGAGAGGCAGGCAGAGAGAGAGAGGGAGAAGCAGGCTCCCTGCTGAGCAGAGAGCCCGATGAGGGACTCGATCCCAGGACCCTGAGACCATGGCAGAGGCTTAACCCACTGAGCCACCCAGGCGCCCCCCCCCCCTTTTTTTAAAATATTTTTTATTTATTTACTTTGGCTGTTTCTAATCAGATCTCCATGTATACTCAGGGTAGATTTTATGAAATATAATTTGATTTTGTCATTTCATGCTGATGGAGACTTCAGTGGCCTGCTGTTACATTGTAGGGAACGATAAAAGGTGTTTACCCCGGCCTACGTGGCCGGGTGTGATACAGCCTTAACTTAGCACTCCAGCTTGATCTTTCCCTCATTCCCTCTCTTTTACTTTCTCTCCACCCAGAATGACTGTCTTTTGGGTTTTTGATTTGCCGAGCTGTTTCCTGACTTAGCATCTTTTCGCTGTTTCCTCTCCTCAGTATGCTGTTGTTCACTCTTGCCCTGGTCCAGTCCTTCTCATTTTTAGTGCTCTTCTTGTTACTTTTTCCTAAAGGGTCTTTTTAGATTGTCCATTCAAAAGTTGCCCTCTGATCATCTCTATCAAGACTTAGCAGAGTTGAAGATGAGCTCATTTCACTTGCATCTGCCCCACCATTATGAGATGCTGGGGAAGGACTATATCTCTTTGGTTCCCTGCTGTGCTGTGTTGAACAGAGCTTGTGCAAAGGTTGCACTTCACAGTTGTTGAATGAAATACTGCTTCTTAAAAGTAAAAGTTGATCTAGGTGAAACGGCAGTAACAGGGCCTGCATCTAACTCCTGCAGGAGTGTTTGTAGACTGATTCCACACAAGTGCCTAGGAGATACTCACAGAAAGTCAGTTACTGCCATTTTGCCTTGCACTCCCACCCCCCAAGGAAGGAGGTGGAATTTTTAGTGTTTGTTTTGGGGACCCTCACAGATGAAGTTTAGATTGTGTTCTGTTCCTGGAAAGCTGTCCAACTTTGAGCCAGTTAACCAAGTTCTCCCAGGTCTCCTTTCCCCTACATAAATTGAGGAAAATTACATCTCATGAATGTTATTATGAAGATTTACGTGAGATTATGTGAAGTGCTTCATACAGTGCTTGACATCCTAGAAGAGTTCAGGCTTTATTTTTTCTTATTCCCTTTATATCTCAAGAGATTAATAAGGACTCAGAAAAACTCATTTAACTTACCTCGTAATCTTACTGTTTTTATTTAATGCATAATCACACCCAAGAGTATTAACATGGAGGTCAAAATCAGTTTAGGAGGAAATAATCCATCTCTAGGGTACAAATAAGCAGTGATGGACTGGTTATTTAATGGTCAATAACATTGGTTTCCCTCAGAAAGATAGCTGTGGAATTCTCCTTTTTGCCTTATCCCAGGGGTGGTTGTTTAACATTGTAAAATTGTAATTACAAATAAATGCAAATAGTTATTTTTCTTTCTAGTTCAAGTAGATATTCTATGGAGATAAGTGACATTAGATATTTAGATATTTCCCCCATTTTAGATATTTTGAGAAGCCTCGGCAATATCATTGAAAGCTCTGGAATCCAGTGCTGTTCTGCTTATATTATCAGCTTTGGAGGCAATTAAAAATTTTAATATTCTGAAGGCAGGTTGTTAGATTCAAATGGATTAGATTCAAATTAGTAGGTGGTCTGTGACCACCGCTTCCTTAGTGCATACCACTCTGGATGCTAAATTGAGTTTAAAGCTTGAGTTACATCTATCAAATGTATCAAAGGTTAATTCTCTGCCATTAAGTTAGAATAGCTCACCCATCCTTGCCTCTATTAAATTTATTTCACTGGATGATATGAGACAGTAATTGTGGCCAATAGAATTGCTTCTCTACAGGCCATATCTTTCGGAGAGCTAGGGGCTCTAGCATTAATAGTCAAAGACCTTTGGATTTGTCTACCCAAATATTGACCCAGGTAAGGATCTTTGTAGTTTATTTAGGGATAGCTATGATTTAGAGCATTGATACAAGGTAGATAGTGCAGTTAATAGACATCAACCCCTTAGCTCAGTTTAGAGCATGGAAACTTTAGGGAGGCCAAGGGAACGCCTATGAATTCCTTCTGGGGCTCTTTCACTCTGCCCTGTTCTGTGGCCAAAGATCTCACCTCACACCCAAGCCAAGTATCTTGAAAAAGTGTATATAATTGGTCATTTGGGACATTGGGCTAAAAACATGCAAATGTACGTGGGCGCAGATCCACGAACAATACTACGGTAAGTGTGCCATATTGACAGAGAGAGGTTTATAGGAGTTTGGATGTCTAGACATCTTGAGCTCATGGTCTACTTCTTACTGCAAACCCACCTTCATAAACGATATAGCTAAACTGAGAATTATGGTTGCTAAATGTTAACGTATTTCCCAAAGGAGTACTTTTCATCTCCATAGAGGTGACTAAAACCACTTCCACTTTTTTCTTTTTCTTTTTTTTTTTTTAATTAAAAAAATTTTTTTTAAGGTGTCCTTTTACTTAAAATTATTTGTCAAAGTAAACACTGATGTTGTCTCTCAAAAGTTCTGGTTATTGGGTTTTCCTTTAGTGTTTTGTGTTCTGTGCCTGGTGGGGCTGTAGTGCTTTAAAGAGAAATTGGGGATATACGCTCTCAACTGAGTAGAATGGGAGCCTGCTCTTCAATGAAAAAATAGTGCATTACCTTTGGTGAAATGCAAGTCTGATAGTTCAAGGCAGACCCACCTCAGATGTCCCGGCGTAAGACTTCAGAGCTTCTCTAGCCCCGTTAAACTGATTTGATGTTTAAGTGACTTCTGTAGGGCATTTGGGTTTAATTAGATGCTAGGAATTGCAAAAAAGTCCTAAAAGAACCACTGTAGTCTTCTTTGGTCTGCCTGTGAGTTAGCTCCCCATTAGCAGCCTGTTGTGGAATGTGACATATCTCTTTCCTTTTCTTTTTACAGAATGCTATGAACCTACCCCCGGACAAAGCCAGGTTACTGCGACAGTATGATAATGAGAAAAAGTGGGAACTGATTTGTGATCAGGTAAGACACTGTGATGCTTTATCAAGAAATAATGAACAGAGAGAATCAGATTTCCTCCCTAAATATAGTAGACTTTTTCCAGGATACCTATGCATGGATTTCTGTTTTGTGACTCTTTGCCTTCCTGTTTATTAGGACCAAAGGTAAAGCTAGAAAGTGACTTCTTTTATTTGTGCATTATTTTAATTCTCTCCTTTATTTTCAAGCATTTAGTTATTAGATCTTCTGGGAAATCTGGTCAGGTGGGCAAACCAAATTCATATCTGCTTTTTTTGTTTTTGTTTTTGTTTTTGTTTTTTTTTTTTTTGAGAGAGTTTGGGGTCAGGGGAGGGCTGAGGGAGAGGGAGAGAAAGAATCCTAAGCAGGTTCTGTGCCCAGGATGGAGCCTGGCATGGGGCTTGATCCCACGACCCTGCGATCATGACTCGAGCTGTAATCAATCAATAGTCGGACACTTAGCTTAGCCGACTGAGCCACTTAGGGACCCCTGTTTTTCTAATTTACGTAGCAGTTTATGCTCTTGAATAATGTGGGTCCTCTAGTTTAATTGGGTTTCCTATCCATGTTTATTTTTGTAATTCCTGGAGGAAGGTGAATTGTTTATAAAGAAACATCACTTGGGCTGATGAATTATTTCAGATTTTAGCAAGTCTTCGGATGCTTTCTTTTCTTTTCTTTCTTTCTTTCTTTTTTTTTTTTTTTTTAAAGATTTTATTTATTTATTTGTCAGAGAGCATAAGCAGGGGGAGCAGCAAGCCGAGCAGGCAGAGGGAGAAGCAGGCTTCCCGCTGATCAGGGAGCCTGATGTGGGACTCGATCCCAGCACCTTGGGATCATGACCTGAGTTGAAGGCAGACGCTGAACCGACTAAGCCACCCAGGCATCCCCAGATGTTTTTGTTTTATCATTAACTCATTCTTCAGAAAGATATAAAGTAAAAAGTGAAATTCTGCATTTTGGTTCTGTCTGCTCTTCACATTGTCCACCTTAGAGGTCCACTTAGAGGTAAGACTTCCAAGTATTGGCTTTCAGCTTTTAAAATGTTGTTGTCTTACAAAAAAGTTTGTCTTAAAAAATCAAAATACATGGACGTACACACCCTCTGTCTGCATCTAGGTACATTGGTCATTCCCACCTGTTCTTTCAAATGGTATGTAGTATTCTATTGTATTGATAGTCATTTCTTTGGCACTTTGCCGCAGGTTGGTGTGGACTCGTTGCTGTCATCTTAGGGTCAGTCTGTAGCTAACGGACTCTGTATGTTAGCATTGCATGTTGGGCCATGAACTTCAGGGTGCTTGTGTCTCCCCCGCTACCCACCACCTGTAACATTTCTGGGGAGTGTTCGAATTCCTCTAACCACAGCTCCCTTGGTCTCCTTCTGTGGGGACAGTGTGTATCAGAGAAGCTAGAGGGGTTTTTTATTGCCCACAGGTCGAGCTATTACCCTAAGAAATACATGCCCACGGTTGACACGGAGTTTCTAAAGCATTCATTGAATATAATTTCTCCTTAGTTCCTGAACTCAGTGATGAAACGATTGTAAAAATCCTCCCCTCCTTCTCATGCTATATTTATTTGAGTGTCGAGAATAGATAGAAACTGAAGAGGAAGCTTATTGCTTATATGACCATGTTGCAAAAGAGTAAAAATTTTGCTGACACCTAGACTCTCCTTCCTCGAGAGTTAATTTTTCATGAGTATTGTCTAAACCTATTATTGTGAGGAAAAATGATTTTACAGTGATGATGAACGAAGATGATAGGGATAATTAAGGAAAGGTAACTGCACAAATGAGGGAGGTCCAACGGGGGCCAAAATGCTGGTATGACAGGTTATGACAGTAATGCAGGCAGAGGAAAGCAGCTTTAGTGGCCATTTTGTTAGCCTGGTGAGGAGGAGCTGAACCTTCTCCCTCAGACCTGCGGGATTCACTGGCCATCAGGCCACTCTGCTCCTTTCTACCTTTATTGAGTTGTTAATTTTTGCCTCTCTAGTAGCCAGAAAGGGCAGATTGCTGCTGATGGAGGATTTCTAACCGCTGTACTCTCCTCTCAACCCAACAGTGTCTTCATAGGGTTGATGGTAGGTCGAGTGGGTCTTGGGGCTGGGAGAGGAACGATCATCTAATTATGTTTCTGACTTTCAGATCCGAAGTTCAGCTTATTATTGCCCTTAAATGATAATGTACCACCACATGGAGAATTTAGCTACTTATCTGTTCCTTTCAACACATGTTGAAAGCTCCAGGCTGGAGCTCCGTCAGTTCAAAGGTATCCTTGGGTGATTTGTTAATAAGAGTGACAAATAGGGGTGCCTGGGTGGCTCAGTGGTTAAGCCGCTGCCTTCGGCTCAGGTCATGATCCCAGGGTCCTGGGATCGAGCCCCGCATCGGGCTCTCTGCACAGCAAGGAGCCTGCTTCCCTTCCTCTCTCTGCCTGCCTCTCTGCCTACTTCTCTGCCTACTTGTGATCTCTGCCTATCAAATAAATAAATAAAATCTTTAAAAAAAAAAAAAGAGTGACAAATAATCACTATTGCCATACTAAGTAGATTTCCTTAATAAGAACTTCATGTTGAATTTTCAAAACAGTCCCTTGTGTTCATATCCCCATTTGACAGATAGAGAAAGTCGTTGTGAAGATGACAGAGCTGTTCAGTGGTTAAGTGGCCTATAAAGTGTAATGGCGGAAAACAGGCCCATGCTGGGAGCTGGATGCTTACACACTGCTCTTGGCTCCCTCCCCCACCAAGTGCTCAAGTGTGGGAATGCGCTACTAGAAACAAACAGAAGATACAGGTTGTCTCTGTTTCTCTGGCTTGCAGTCTGATAGCTTTCCTGAGAGGGAGAAGAAGGCGGGGAGCTGTATCTTAGGCACTAAGCCTCGCCTGCCTGCATTATCACTGTGGTGAACTGCCATGTTTGATGAACCAGTAGTCAGTTCGAGAACTGTAGCCAGCAGAAAACTGGACTTTTGTCACATATAGGAGACCCATTGGTGTGTCACACACATAAATACCATTTCTTACCTGTGTATTTGTGGGAGGAAATGTAAAAAGCTGTGAGCTGAAGTATTCATAGTCTACTATTCATATGGTAAGTATAACATATTGGCACTTACTGATGGGATGTTCATCTTGTTATCTACAGGGACCACGTCATATATTTGGTACCTAACCTATATCTATCTATGGTACCTAACTTGATAGCTTCTCAAAATGTATTTGCTTTTAAAATTCCAATTATATGAAATATCCCAAATAGGAAAATCCATTAAGAAAGTAGATTAGTGGTTGCTGTGAAGGGGGGGCGGGAAGGGGGGGTGGAATGGATGACTGTTAATGAGTTAATGAGTATGCATGGTCTTTGTTTTGTTTTGGCCTGATGGAAATTACCTCAGATAACTTAGTGCTGGGAGTTAAAGAGTGGTGATAGTTGCATAGCCTTGTGAATAAAATAGAATTGTATACCTCTTTAAGAATGTGAATTTTGTGGCATAGGAGTTATATCTCAAAATTGCTTTTGCAACAACCAGAGATAGGTTAAAAAGAGGGGAGGAGAATTTAAGAGAGGTAACAGTGTTTGTATGGATCTTTTTGGATCCCAATATGAACAAACTATAAAAAGACTTTTTTTCAGAAAACTGGAGAAATTGAAATTAGCAGATGATTCTAAGGAATTATTGACTTGGTTGGGTTTGGTTTTTGGCACTGTAGTTGTATAAGAATCTTTTTTAAAAAATTTATTATTTTTTTTATGCTCAATTAGCCAACATATAGTACCTCATTAGAATCTGTCTTTATTTTTAAAGCAATGTGTACTGACATAGGGATAGACTATGACTGGAATTTGGCTGTAAAATACTTCATCAAAGGAAAATAAAGAATAGGTAAAGGAATTGTGGAGAATCTTGATGATTATTGAATCTTGCCAGTGGGATATGTTGGGGTCTATTATAGTATGCTCTCAACTTTTGTGTATTTTTGCAAATTTACAATATAAAATTAAAAAATAAAGTATTTGCTACATAATCTTCATTTTTTTCCTCAGCTATAAAATGTAGTTAATATGCACATTTTAAAGGGATACCTGGCTGGCTCAGTGGTAGAGCATGTGACTCATAATCTCAGGGTCCTGAGTTCAAGCCCCACATTGAGTGTGGAGCCTACTTAAAACAAACAAACAAACAAACAAACAAAAAACCAAAGTAAAACTATAACATTTTAAACTTATTTTGAGGATTGAAGGCAATTTTATGTAATGTTCATGGACTAACATATAGTAGGTGTTTCATAAGTGGTGTGGCTGCTTCTGCTGCTCCTTAGGGGCCCAGATATTAGATATTAGATATTTATTTTTTGTTTTTTCTTATTTTTTATTATTGTGTTCAGTTAGCCCATGGAATGGTAGAAGATATTTGCAAATGATATTACAGATAAAGGGCTGATATCCAAGATCTATAAAGAACTTATCAAACTCAACACCCAAAAATGAATAATCCAGTGAAGAAATGGGCTGAAGACATGAACAGATACTTCTCCAAAGGAGACATACAAATGGCTACTAGATATTAAATATTGGTACCATTATTTTATCATCAACTTGTCCTCAAAAGATTCAAGGAAATTTACAATACTGAACCCATCATCATATTTCACCTAAATATACTTGATGGTTTGAATGCATGTTGTATGATGCTGTCAGAAAAAGCCATCGCTATATATTTTCTCCCTCCCTCCCTCCCTTCGGATTTTATTTGAGAGAGAGCATGAGAGTACAAGTGGGGGAGAGGGGTGTAGAAAGTGGGGGAAGTAAGACTGTCCGCTGATCAGGGAGCCTGATGTGGGGCTCAGTCCCAGGACCCTGGGATCATGAGCTGAGCTGAAGGTAGACGCTTAACCGACTGGTCACCTAGGTGGCCCAAGCCACATCTATAGATTTTTAATCCAAGAAAATACCAAGGCAAACCTTGTATCTTATTTGTGAAGTCTTAAAACAA